TCTTGTAGTCGAGGCCTAAAACCTTACAGTCGAGAATTTATTCCTATCTCAGTCACAGTCGCTTGAAAGAAGTCAAGATATCAGTGCATCCACCACTCACTCGGTCATGGTGGTCTTAATACGCAGTGCACATCCACACCAAGAAGGACGTTTTTTTTTACATAGCCTGATTGGCCCACTTGATTATTTTATTCTAAGATAATTAACACATGGCCGTATAGATTCAAAGGTCAACAAACACAAGAATTTAATATATCGTTCCAACTTAGGTAAACATTGCGAGCATGGTGGTGGATCATTTGGGTGACGGTTCTATGTGCATTTCTTGCCAAAGTCATTTATGTTGAAGGATATGAGTCCCACATTGAAAACTTGACTAAATAAAATACAAAATATAATTAATGGTTCTATTACTAATAATACTGAGGCCTTTTGTGATAAAACCCCATCTAATGGGCTTTGTAGGTGGTTAAGTTGGGGACAATATCGTTGTTGTTAGTAGTGGGCCGCAAGCCCCTCTTTTTGAAATTTAACACGGTATCAAAGCGGGTTGATTGGCTGGGTCTGAATTGGGCCTATACCCTTACCCAATATTTCACATGTTGGGCTTGAATGTTTACGCTTACCCTTTACCCAATACGTGGTGCTCGCATGTTGGGGTTGAATAATTGACTCTGATGTGGACTTGGCTCCACGTATGGCCCACTACATGGAGGTTCCACGTGAGGGGGCGTGTTGAAGGTTATGAGTCCCACATCGGAAACTTAACTAAATAAAATACAAAATATAATGAATGTTTCTACTACTAATAATACCGATGCCTTTTGTGATAAAACCTCACCCCTAATGAGCTTTGTAGGTGGTTAAGTTGAGGATAATATCAGTGTTATTAGTAGTTGGCCGCAAACCTGTAACAACCCAATCCTTAATTAATTATTAATTTATTCTGAGAAAAGACAATTTTGCCCCTATAATAAATTATTAGAGAAAATGTTGACTTTTTTACCAGGAAATTTTTTGGAAATTCCAATTGTATCGTTGCGTAGAGCACATCGAGATGAGTCCGTAGACATGTAGTGGGCTCAAATCCAAGTTGTAACGAGAGAGATACGATCAAAATTCAAGTAGGGGTAAAATTGTAATTTTATCAAAAGTAGTTTTTTTAAAAAGGCTTTTTTACTATAGTGCCCCTTGAAACTTTGGTAAAATCTCATTTTACCCCTCCAAAGTTAAAGTGGCCCACTTAACCCCATTGATCGTGATTTCGTGTTCCACTTTACCCCCATTGTTATCTCCATTAGTAACTCTGTTAGTTTTGATGACGTGGTATGACTATTTTAGTCTTTTTACTAAATGTAATTACTTGTTTAATTAAAAAAAATGAGAAATTAACAATTAAAAATATTGCTTCTCTATTCTTTAAAACTAAAATAAAAATATTAAAAATAAAAAAATAAAACCTACCCAGATCCAACTATGGCCAAAGATCCATATCCTCCCCAAAAATGGCCTCATCCTTTCTCCTTTCTCCTCTCTCTGCAACAAACCACCACACCATAATCCATAACCATCCAAACCCACCACCAACCATATCCACCCACACCCTCCACCGACCATACCCACCCAATCCCCAAAGATTATGACCATGAATTTGGCCTCCATTGCAATTGGTGTCATTCCTCTATAGAGGAATTAGGGGAATTGAGTAACTAAAAATTAAAAACTTTTTCAATGGTAGAGGTTCTCTCTCTGTTGGGATGCGGTGGCAATTGGTGAGTGGTGTTGGTTTTAGATGATTGGGGGTCGGGGGAGTGGATGGCTTGGGTAATGGTTTGGTGGGTTGTGGCTCGGGGCTTCGGTGATTGGGGGCAGGGGGGAGTGTGGGTGGCTTGGTGATGGTTTGGTGGCTGGGTTGGTGGGTGTGAGGGTGTGCTGGTGTGGGTGGTGCAATAAGGAAGATGGTGGTTGCTGGACAAAGGGTGGGGCTACACCGTTCGCTTAATGTTTTTATTTTATTTATTTTTTATTTATGTTGTTTTGTTTTGTTTTTTTAATCTTTAATCTTTTGTTTTGTTAATTTATTACAATTTTGATTGGGTAAGAATTTTTTTAATTTAATTTAATTTATTTTTAAAGCATAGAGAAGAAAGATATTTATTTATTAATTTTTCTTATTTTGTTTATATATTTTTAATTAAATAAGTAATTACATTATTTTATATTTAATTCAATTTAAACAAAAAAAGTGGGGCATTCACATGACACATCATCACTTGTGATAAAAAGACTAAAATACCACTGCCACATTATCAAAACTGATAGAGTTACTAATGGACATAACGGTTGGGGGTAAAGTGGAACATGAAATCACGATCAATGGGGTTAAGTAGGCCACTTTAACTTTGGAGGCGTAAAGTGAGATTAAACTGAAGTTTCAGGGGGGCACTACAGTAAATAAGCCTTTTAAAAACACCAGAATTTCTCTTTCTTTCCCCCTGCGCGCAGAAACAACCCCCTCTTTGTCACTATTCATCCGTTTGGTTTTTCCTCCACCGGTCACCAAACTTCATGATATTGGTACCAAAACGTCAAGCTCACTTTCCTTTTTCCATCCTGACCAATCTCAGCGGCCGGAACCACTTGTGCTCGCCGAAAAATATCAAAAACCGACCGGTTTTAACCCAAAATTCACGGAGCTCGTTCGGACGCCTCTGGCCACCATTTTCGTCGATCCAGGTATACTTTCTCAACCTCTCGAGATGTTATAGCTGCTGGTTAGGTAGGATTTGAGACATTTCTAGCGTTAATGGTTCGATTTTAGGTTCAAAGTTTTGCCAGTTTTGGGATTGCAATTACTGCCACTTCTAGCCATTTTTCGGGGTAGGTTCAAGAATAAAAGTGGTTCCAAATAGGGTGTTTTCCCTAAGTTAGGAGTTTGGGCCGTCGGTTGGGAGTATTTCCGGCTACCGAAAATTGATCAAGCCACCCACGCACTACTAGCGCGTGTGGCAGGGCGTGGGCAGCATAACGAAGTTACTTTCAGATCCTAAAATGATCTCTTGGTCCTCACGAGTGCGTAGGAATTCGCGAATTTAATTCGAACAACGTTTGAACCCCGAATGGATCTCGCATATTGTGCGATTTCCATGTTCAATACGTTTGAACCGTTGGATTGTAGTCAATTTCATATATGTTGGTCTAGACAATTCCAGGATCGGGTAAGATTCGACGGATCGTAAATCGGAGACCCGGATACTCCGAAAATGCCAACCCTAGGGCTAGGTTTACAGTAACCGTACGATTGTCCGATCGTGATTAATCCAGCTGTTCGATCGAGGCCAAACTTTCGGGACATATGTCCTAGGCATGTTAGAACCTCTAGGAACTCTCGGATCGGAATTTTGAGGTTGTGGACCCCATGGTGTCCCGGGTTGACTTTTTGGGAAATTTATCACTTATTGGGTCTTGGGTCTTCTTAGACCGTTCCAATCATCCGAAAGGTTTAAATGGGCACAGGATTGGTCCTGAGACTCGTTCATGTACTCTATTACGGATTTATATGATTATGGAATACAATATTTTATGGAATTCATATGAAAACATGTGCGAGTGTTCATTGGTTAGTAATGCCATTAATTTCATGGATTAGATTACCATATCACTTATTATGAAATTATATAACTATGGAGTCAGTATATGATTGTATACATATGGATGGCCAAATTATGTATATATATATATATATATATTTATGTTATTTTGTATTTGGAGGTGTATTATTGTATGTGATGGTAAACCTAAAGGATATTTTCGATGATTGGAGATTATGCAAATATTGAGAAGAGAATATAAGCAAGGTTTGTGAAACAAGAGAAACTTCGAAATAAGTTTCAAAATATGGTTTTAAAACCCACCTCAAGAGTACCCCCTAGTTGCCTTTGGAAACGAATTTGTCATTTATGACAATGCCCCACGAGTTTCGGGGACATCTGAACCGTGTGGTGCGAGGACTGCGGTTTAGGCTGACCAATGGTCACCTAAGGCCTGCAAGGATGCGGCTCGATTAACTTCGTGTTTTCGAGACCTGCGAGGACGCGACTCGGTTAACTTTGTGTTTCCGAGACCTGTGAGGATGGAATTGACGGACTAACATTGGACTTGACGGATTGTTATTGGAATTGACGGTATTAATGGAATTGACGGATCAGGAATGGGGATACGCCTAGGTGGAGAGGATTTAGATTTTAAGATGCTTTTAGACTAAATTGAGGATTTTATACGGTTACCATTATTTTCTTAAGCGTCACATTTGTTTTACAAGTGATAGATGGAAACATACATATAGATTCTAATTAAGTTGTTGAGATATATATATATATATATATATGCAAAAAGTTACTTTTAGTCCCTGTAGTTTGTCACTTTTACCACTTTAGTCCATGTTGTTTCAATTTGGTCAATTTTGTCCCTGTATTTTTAATTTGAAGCAATTCAAGGACAATTCTCAATTTCTGTCAATTTTTTTTAACTTCCGTTAGTTGTAGAGGGGTAATTTGGTCCACAAATTATTAAAATAAGAAAAATAATCTTAAAATAAAAATAAAACATTTTTCTCCATTCCTCCTCCCAACCCCAACGCCCACCACCAGTCCCAACCCCTCCCAACCCCAGCAAACCACCACCTCCCTGTAACCAACCACCAACCTAGCCACCCAAGCCTGCCCCAACTCCAAACGATACATAAATAGGCCTCGATATAGCGAAATTGTACAACCACGATTTTGCGCCTTTTCACAAGAACCACCACCACAGCAACGTCTCTATTTACCAAAACTCTAAGCCTCCGTTAACATTGGCTGTTTCAGAATTCAAAAAAGCTTCAAAATTTCAAAAAAATAAAAATAAAAAAATCACAAAGAACAAATGTCCCAAATCCAAACCCCTAATTAATCAAATTCACAGAGATGAGGTTTTGATTCGGTGGCGATCGGTGTACAAACATGAACGTTGGGGACGATGATGATGCCGTCAACAAACCCCAAAGACTACGACATCAACGCCACCCGATCACCCAAAAACAGTCGTCACCATCAAAGCCATGTGGCCATCGCCATCATCTTCGTCGTCGTGTTGTTGATCTCCACTGCGAATTGGCTCTCTCGTCTTCTCTGGCGCCCCTTAGCCCTTCCCTGCCCCTCAAACCCTCACTCAATCCCGTAATCGTAGCCTCTCACTCTCTTAACAACAATAGCAATGTCGTCTAGTTGGAAGAGAAGCTCCCCGAAAACAACGTCGATCTTTCCTTGCCACCGATCATGATTTTCCGAGGACATATCACGATTTCATTTGAGGTTGGGGTAGGCTTGGTTGGCTTGGGTGGTGGTTGGGTTACAAGAGGTGGTTGCTGGGGACTTTCGGTGGGTGTTGGTGTTGAGGATAAGGGAAAATAGAGGTTTTATTTTTATTCTTAAATTATTTTTCTTAATTTATATTTATGGACCGAATTGCCCCTTCAGAAGTAATGGTAGTTAAAAAAATTTGACAAAAATTGAGAATTGTTCTTGAATTGCTTCAAATTAAAACTACATGGACAAAATTGACCAAATTGAAACAACATGGACCAAAGTGGTAAAAGTAACAAACTACAGGGACCAAAAGTAAATTTTTGCCATATATATTATGAACCTTACATGAATTTCGATACAATGATACAAGGGTCTTCGGATCTTATAAATCTTTAACTTATTTTGTTTGATTTTATTTTATTTTAGTATGTTTATTTATCTTTATCTTTTATTATTTTATATAGTATTAAATAACTTAAGTTTTTCTAGCATATTTTGCCCCACGGATTGTAGAGATGTCCGGACCGTGTGGAGCGAGGATTACAGGGCAGGACATGTCACCAATGGTGTCACGAGGAATTAATAATTATGGCTTTCCAAGAGTGATTTCTTGAATCTAAATGCATCATTCCTTCATTTAATTATATATTGTCTTATGAGTAATGCCAGAAAGCTTGGAACAAGAAGCTGAGATGGAAGATGAGAACTACGTGTGGCTTGATCCCTTACTAAGGGTATGTAGGCAACCTAGGGTTCTAGGTGCAGCCACGAGGTCAAGTAATAAAAGGTAGTCCAGTTAAGTTATTATGAAATCTAACACTGTTCTGGAGAGGTTATAAGAAATTAAATTGAACGCTGTTAACAGAATGATTTATTCGATTTATTGAGGCCTGAGGCCAAAATAATATGATGCTTGATTTTTGGATATAATTCGGTACATGCTGTCAGTTGGGTTATATATAAATATATATGCTTGTTTTACAAGTGGGAAATTTTGGGAAATTTTCAATTTACAAGGGAGATTCTGCCGAATTTTCGGCATAAGTCATACTTGAATTTCATTATATTTTGAGTGGAAGGGCAAATAGGTCATTCGTGCTTGACACCCGCCAAGTGTCGGACACGTACAGGGTTTCGCTCGGATTCCAAAGTGGAATTTGGGTCAGGTCCTGTCAAAACCTGTCTCTATGAAATCTTAACAATTTCTTATGCATGCAGGTCTCTCATACATGTTACAAAGCTGGGAACAATATGACGGTAGATAGATGGGACCACATTTGAACGCCCCTGCCAAGGAACATGCCAACTGACATTTACATGCATGCAGCTTTCTTCAAACAAATCTAACCAATTACTCAGAAATCTAGAGAAATGTTTGTGGGGTCCCGATTACTGTATGATTTCAAACTGAGAAGGCAGTCATCCATCTCATCACCACCGTTAATAGATGAGTGTGTATTATGCACCGATGAAGGTCGAAGGCTCAAACACCGGTGTGGTGCCGGTCGAAGGCTCTCCGATGCTTAAGTCAGCTATGAGTGATAAATTTGCCAGAGTAACAGTAAATGTGAGAAAATAGTTACCCTTTTTACTTGGGTACTGTTCCCTATTTATAGGGAAGTGAAAATGGGAGCATTGCACAAAGTTTTGATGTAGGACTTTGTGTGAGTTGCTGTGGTGGTGACACGTGTTTTGGAGATTAGGTTCGGCAATATTTGCTTTTGTTACGGCATGTTTTGGGAGTTTTGCCGAACGGCATGTTTGACATGAGTTTTGCTGAAGATTTTGCGAGGCAAAGGTGTCCCTATTCAGTGTGGGCTATTCGCGAGGCTACAATCTGGTCCTAAGAGCTGAGCCTTCGGCAGGTGTTGAGGTAAGCAACATTTCGAGGCCTCCTTCCTTCCGCACATTGCTTGTCGTTCGGCAAGGTTAGTCTGAGGTTAAATTTGGTTGATTTCGGTTCTTTGATTTTGCAACAGAGTCTCGGTAAGGCAGGTCCGGGAACTTGTCATTTTTAGAGGCCTCCTTTATTGTACGCATGGTCCTTGCCGTTCGGCAAGATTGCTATGAACCTTCATCCCCATATTGCGAACCTATTTGTTTATGTGTAATCGTCAATAAGTAGGCTAAGCCCACATTTGTCTTCAAGGCTAAGATATTCGACAAGATTCTGTCTTCCGTGATCGGTAGGTGTTCTTGAATTTGACTTTGTAAAAATTTTCGCATGAGTAGACCCGGGCATGACCCTTGTTGTTCGACAAGGGTGGCTGGGTAGGTTGTCTTGTTTGCCCCATCGGTTCCTCAACTCAAATTGTCCGCACTTTGGTTTCTTTCGCGAGGTCGACTTTAAAGTTGTTATGTTTGCAGGTTTGAGCTTCTGATTCAGCAAGGGTGGATTTGTTGGGTTTAGTTTGAGCACCTTCATAGTCTCTGCACAACCCTTGCCTTTCGGCAAAGGTGTCTTGATCAAATTTGTTGGCGGGGGTAGTCGGGGTTGCTTGTGATCTTGAGCCGGGCATCGCTAGCTGGGCCTCAGAAGATATTGTCAAGGGTAAAAATTTGTGACTGGGCCGTTCTTCATCTCGAGGATTGGAGCTAAGCCGTCCACCTTTGGCAAGTGGATTTGAGCAAGGTGAGAACTTTATGTCCCCCATTTCTTTTGCATGGGCCTTGCCGTTCGGCAAGGTCTTCCCAATTCCTTGCTCCGTTTTGTTGTTGTTTTTTGTTTTTGTTTTTAATTTGAAATTCAAATTGTGGAGCAGGTACAAGGAATTTGATAGGGAAGATAGAAGGGTGCTAGGGTGTGAACCGAGGCGTTGGTACCCTTGAGGCTTTATAAATAGGAACTTGGGGTAGCGAAGGTAGACATACTTGAGTCTTGGGAAAAATTTCTAGAAAGTGAGAAAGAGAGAAGGAGATTTCTGGCAAGATACTTCATGGTGGTGCTGTGGCTATGGTGATTTCCAGCGTCTTATTCGTGGTGGTGCAAATAAGGTTAGACCTCATTTCCTTTGAATTTTTAAATTGAAATATCCTTTTTGGTATGAACATGTTGAAGACTAGGATGAACACCTTGAATATGAGTATGAACATGATGAACACCTTGAACATTGGTATGAACTTGTTGAATGTATGCTTCTAGATCAAAGAGCATGTAGGGATGTCATACTTTTTGTGTTCTTGTGTTTTTGATCCTTCTTGCATGTGCATTAGTTCCTTTTCCTTGTTTCTGCATATTGTAAATGTCTGAAAGTTCTGATAGAAAAAGTCATGCCCCCCTGCCTTTGGTGGGGAAGATACTGAAAGTGAGGAGGCAAGCCAATATATGTGTTCCGAAAGTGAGGGTTCTGAGATAGAGGGTGTGGCAGAAGGTGTTATAGAGAGTAGGATGGTAGTGCATGAGGGTGAGGGGGGTGATCCATCAGTAGACTCTGGGTCAGCTGCATATAAGGAGATGCAGAGGAATTACAAAGTGTTAGAGGCTATAGATGATCGAGTTCTGGCCTTGCCTCATACACCAGAGGTGGGCTCAAGCAATCAGGCATCACCGTCAGGGTTTGTGGGTATAGCCGTGACTTCAATTTCAGAAGGAGTGGATATACGAGTTGGTATCCCTTTGTCGAGGCGTAATATACTTACAGAGGTAAAGCTGGCAGAGCTTCGGATAGATTTTAGTGTCCCACCCTCGGTGGGCTTGAGGTTACCCACTGCTACTGATGTGGTTAGATATCCTCCGGAGGGATGTGTGCTGATATTTACCGATATGTACCAGCATGGCTTCAGACTACCGTTTCATCCTTGGGTATAGATGATGTCGGCCAAGCTGGAATATGCGCCAGGGCAATATAATCCCAACTTCTGGATTCTTCTGCATGGGATGTACATTGCTTGGTGGTTGGCTGGATTGGGGGAACCAACATTTGAGTAGTACATCATGGATCGGTTGGTGTATGAGCAGCTGCGTTGGGAGGAGAGACTGCCGAGGTTCAACCTTTTGGTTGAGATCAACTTTGATACAAGTGGCGAGCCTCCTTCACCTAGCCCTACTACCAAGGCCACTCCAGAGCCAGAGTTGGCTATCACGGATGCCCCTTCTACCGAGGCCTGAAGGCGTTGCCTTCTTGATGTATTCTAGTCATTTTGTTGGAACACTTGGTGTTTATTTTTGCTTTGTATAAACATTTTTCCTTGCTTGGGGCAATGTTATTTTGATTTGCTATGATCTTAGACTTGTTTTCCTTTGATATCAGTTGTACTAGCAAAATGATAATCATGTGATTCATAAGAATTAGCTAGAGTCGGGCTTTTCATTGGATAGGTGCCAAAAGGCAGAAGGTACAAGAGATGGTTGAGTCAAGACTCAAGACCAAAGTCTAAGAAAACATAATGTCCTAAGGTCTAGGTGTGTTTACTTATAAAAGTACTTGAGGTGATCAGCGTTTTAAGGATGAGGCAAAATCTTGCCCTTGGGATCACGAAGTTGATAAGTGCCGAGGCGGCAGACTTTGGTAATCTCATAAGGACCCTCCTATGTAGGTCCTAAGGTACCTTCAATAAGGTTTGTTGAGACCCAAAAAAATTCATGGTTGGGCCCGAATAAATTATCATGCCCAAAATGACATTCTACTAAAAAAAGGTGTAAAACGAAATACACGAAAACCCACCATACGCGAGTTACAATTCACGTGCCACGCTAAATAAATAATTCATGCTAGGAGTTGAGATAAAGTATACCGGCTCTACAAGCCCATGCCGAAATTAAACATCATAGTTCTTCCCAAGGACGATAAATTAAAACATGCCAAGACGAAGGGGAAAAAAGGAAATAAGAAGAAAAATAGCTAAGAATGGACCCTTCGACTGGAATAGCTGCGGGAAAGGGGGCCTTGAGCTCCCAAAGTTCCTGATTTTGTGCCAATAGACAGAGGAAATTTCACAATGATAGGAAAAACCAAGGGAGGAGAAGAGAAAGGAGGAGAAAAGCTTAGCCAAAGTGGGTAGAAACCATTAGGGTTTCTTGGGAAGGGATGATTTCCAGCAGCTATAAAATTAGGCATCTTTTACCCAACAAAGGACAACTCAGAATTAGGGAGCAAGCTTTCTCTCCAACTTGCAAAAACCTAGCAATCTCGTGCACCATTCACCTTCTTCTCCATTCTTCTTTAGCATACAGAATATCTGTTGAGCTGCCAGAAGAGCATCGTTTCTTATTTCTCTCTTCTTAGCCAAATCTCCTACAAACCTTCTTCTTTCTCACCTTAACACTTCCATTTTTCCCCTAGGAAAGCCTAAATTCCCCCTCAGTGCTAAACTCGTGTTGGTTTTGCTTCCATGCCACATGCCTTTCATGCCAAGCTCAAAAATTTATCTATAAGCATGCACAAATTACCTGTAAGTTGCTATTGTTTCGGTTGGTGAAGGTAACCAAAATACTTCCTGAGGCTCTGCTACCCTTTCGAGGTATTTTCGGGGCTTAATTTTCGAACTCAGACAAATGGGACAATTTCATCAGTCTGTCTTTTACGGCAGCCTAGCCCATTTACAGCTGCCGGAAGAAAAAGTCCCCTACATAAATTGGCGACTCCGCTAGGGATTAAGCCATTATCTTCATCAATGCCTCCAAAGAAGAAGACCATAAGCAACAACATCACTTCCCAAGATGGGCCAAGCCATGGTGATTCGAAATCAAGGCAAAATGCCTCATCTAGAGGAAAAGAACGTGCAAGTGAGGGAGCTTTTACCCTCTCAGACCATGTGGCAGCCATCCATGCTATGGGGGAAACCCAAAGGGAAATGGCAGAGACCATCAAGGAGCTGAAAAGCTCGATGCCCAAGCCAAGTGAAGAAAACGAGAGACTTCCACAAGAGGAGTCTGCTGCTGCTGGGAAGGGGTCTGAACAAAAGGGACCATCTTCTGTCACCCAAGAGGACGTCGTTGCCATGCTGGAAAAGGAACTGAGTCGAAGTCAGGAGGATTAGAAATACCTTCCTCAACCACCGTATCCATCAAGTTCGCTCCAACAGCCATATCCTAAAGGCTATGAGGCACCAACCTTTGTCCTCTTCAATGGAAGGAAGGGGAGCCTAAAGGAGCATGTCAACCGCTTCATTGATGCTTTGGGACCACATGCTGGTGATTATAATCTCAGACTTAGAGAATTTTCAAAGAGTCTCACTGATCGTGCTTACACATGGTATATGACGTTGGTACCAGGCTCTATTCACTCTTAGGAAAGCTTGGCAAACAGGTTTTATAAGAAGTATTTCTAGCATGAAGAACGAGTCACCACCACTCAACTCAACAACACCCGTCAAAGACATGGCGAGGATCTCGTGGACTTTGTGCGCAGGTTCCGGGACCTGGCGTTCGATTGCTACGATGAGAAAGATGAGGAAGCACTTGTGGAGATTTGCATCAGTAATATCGTGGCAGATTACAGAGTTTATCTGGAGAATATTAGCATCAGTCAATTTTCTCGGCTGCTGGAAGCAATAAGGAAGACAAGCATGTCCGTCAAGCCGATGGGACAAAGAACTTGGAGGAACGAGAAGAAGAAGACGCACCAAGCATTAGCTATAGATGGCAAGCCATCCAATGACTACAACTCGCGCAAACGAAAGGATAGGGAGACATATCCACCACTACCATGCAAGGATGAAGAATTTCACGCCATCCTTGACACGATGATTGTTGATGGTGCAATTAGACCTGTCAGACCCTACAAAATTCCTACCCGAGAAGAGAAAAATGATCCTAGATACTGCCGTTATCATCAATTTGTAGGCCATCCAACCACTGCTTGCCAGAGCTTAAGGAGGATTTTACATGCTAAAATACATGAGGGAGTCCTTGAGCTTCCCTCTAGGAAGCAAACCATTGATGAAGACCCCTTGCCAAAACGAAGGGGAAAAGAGGTAGCTGTTGTCATTACCTATTCCAATGATTTGCTCGATGATGATGAATTGTGCCACCCGTGGAGGGATGACCCAAAGCCGCCGGAAGCTAAGTGGGAACCTTGCGGAAACATGGAGAAAGCATATTGGTGTAAATATTCAAAGCCTTCAAGTTACAACACGTCGTGACCGCTCGCTGACTGATGGGGTGACGACTCAGGCAACGAAGTTTTCATTTTAGACATGCCGGAAGAATGCTATTCGGGGCTTCATCGGGACAACAGGAAACAACTGCGGTAACATTCCATAACCTTACGGAGGCTGAAACAAGTGTGATGGAGCGTTATTTAAGTCTGAAACAAGGGCCTACGGCCTCACAGGTCCTCCAGAGAAACCCGAAGTTCAAGTCACTTTTGACCAACTTGGTTTTGGGCCTTAAGCAAGAGAGGCAGCTGCTATAGATCTTATGAACATCTCTGCGGAGTCTAATCCTCATTGCTTCACTGCTCAACCGCAAAGGTCATTCTTGGAAAATGACAATGCTATCATTTTCATAGACGAAGACATGGAAGTTCCATATCCGGATTACAGAAGGCCACTGTACTTGGAAGGACAAATCAACGATGTGTTTATAAAGAGAGCTTTGGTAGACACGGGTTCCTCTGTCAGCATATTGCCTCTGTCTATACTTACGGCAGCTGGCATTCCATTATCCAAAATCGTGCAATCTTAAACGAGCATCAGCAGTTTTAGAAATAAGAGCGAGATCATGGTTGGGTACATGCAAGTAAATTTGAAGGTGGGGCCAATTCGGTCACTTACCAAGTTCTACGTGGTGGACGTAGATGTGGCTTACCATGCTTTACTTGGAAGGCTATGGCTCAACAAGCATAAACTTGTGGTCTCTACCTACCATCAATGTGTAAAGGGAAGGATTGGGCTGAGGCCATTCCGCATACCTGGGAACCAAGCATCGTTCAACAAAAACGAAGCTCATTACTCCTAGGAAAAGTTTTACACTGAAAGCACAGGTGTTGGAAACGGCCCATCCAAGGATTTCGAGACCTACCACCCTTCATGGACTGAAATCTATGATCTAAGCAACGAGGAACTCATCACTATTGTTGATCGAGAAAGAAAGAGGCACTCGGAGGTCAACAACCATGCCTACGACCAGCCCCAATGCTCGAAAGTGACGCTGCCAGATGGGCGCACTGTGTACCGCTTATGACGGGATTGGGGGCTTAATCGTGTCCTACGGGAAAGCCCCGAGTATAGAGGAGAAGCAATGTAAGCAAGCAGCCGTAAGGGTCTAGATGACAAGGCACCCACGCCTTGTCCTTTCCAAGAGCCAATGACAGCGCCTAGACATATGCAAGATGGATCAACAGCGGTAGCTAACTAGCTGGAAGCAATAGATTTGAATGAGGATCCCTCTGCCCCAAGGCCTATCTCTATCAGCGTTCATCTGACAAGTGAGGAGAAGGAGGCCTTGGTGTCGTTGCTAAAGGAATTCCGAGATGTGTTCGCTTGGAGCTACGAGGAAATGCCTGGCTTAAATCCAAACTTAGTAAGTCACACTTTGAATATTGAGCTAGGTACGAAACTTATTGTGCAGCCAATAAGGAACTTCCATCCTGAAATTGAAAAACAAATTAAAGTGGAGGTCGAAAAGCTGCTGGCCACTGGGTTCATCAAGCCAATCATGCACCCAACATGGCTAGCAAATATTGTTCCCGTGAAAAAAAAGACCGGAGTAATTAATTCAAATATGCACGGACTACCGAGATCTCAACCGAGCTTGCCCAAAGGATGAATTCCTGATGCCCAACATGGATATCTTGATTGATTTAACCTCGGGTCAAGGCTTGCTGTCATTCATGGATGGGTTTAGTGGCTACAATTAGATCAAGATGTCACCCAAGGATGCTGAGAAGACAGCCTTTCGAACACCATATGAGAATTTTTATTACACAGTCATGCCGTTCAGTCTCAAGAATGCTGGCGTCACCTACCAAAGAGCCATGACAGCAGTGTTTCACGACATAATGGGGGAAATAAGTTGAAGATTATGTGGATGACCTTGTAGGTGAAGTCCAAAACCAGAGAAAGCCATCAAGAAGTTTTGAGGAAGGTGCTGGAAAGGTGCCGGCTGTATGGATTGAAGTTGAATCCGAAGAAGTGTGCATTCAGAGTATCATCCGGTAAATTCTTAGGGTTTCAAGTACACCAGTGTGGCATAGATGTGGATCCCAAAAAGACTAGAGCCATAAACTCCCTTGCACCGCCTAGGAACCCTAAAGAATTGAAAAGCTTCATGGGAAGGCTATCGTATATTCAACGTTTCATCCCAGGCCTTGTTGCCACCATGGGTGTTTTTACTCCCTTGCTCAAAAAAGGTAGGCCGTACGAATGGAGCAAGAAGTGTCAAGAAGCCTATAAGCAAGTGCAACAAATAATCACCAAGCTACCCACCATGAGAGCACCCATGCCGAGACATCCACTCAATCTTTATTTGGCTGTAACAAACACAGCGATTGGGGCCATACTTGCCCAAGATGATCATAGTGGAGAAGAAAGTCCTATTTATTATGTGAGTAGGCAACTAAGGGGAGCTGAAATGAGGTATCCAAAAACCGAACTCTTGTGCCTTGCTCTTGTCTATGCTGCACAACATTTGCGGCATTACTTCCTTGCTCACAAGTTACAACTCATAGTGAAGTCCGACCCCGTAAGATATTTGCTCACAAGGGTGGTGTTATCTGGACTTCTTGCGCGTTGGTTGCTATAGCTGCCCAAATTCGATATCACATACACCACTCCTAAGGCCATCAAAGGACAAGCCGTGATTGACATGTTGGCTCTATTTCCTGAAGTTGAAGAATCGACTATCTCTAAGGAAGTTCTGGGGGAGCTGCAGGAAATGGTTGCAGTCGTCACAGAGGCGGAACCATAGACCATCTACTTCGATAGGTCTTCTACATCGAAAGGTGGAGGAGCAAGTGTAGTACTTATTAATCCTAAAAGGCAGGCTACGGCTCTCTCGTTCAAGCTAAATTTCCCATGCACAAATAATACGGCGGAGTATGAGGCTTTCATCATGGGGATGTCTACAGCAAGTGAGATGAGTGTGGAAAGAATTAAAATTATAGGGGACTCAAACCTGGTGCTGAGTCAATTATAAGGGAATTTCATTGTGAAAGAGCCAACATTGGCGCCGTATCGTACAGCTGCTAAAGGCTTGTTCGTTCTTTCAAACAGGTTGTGTTGTAACATATTCTGGGGGTTACTAATAGATATGCTAATGCGTTAGCCACTTTGCAATTGAAGCTTCCATTTGTTGAAGCAGTGGCTCAAGATGAGCAGCTGGAAGAGGACGACTGGAGGAAGCCTATGAAAGAAAAAATAGGCAAGGGAAGCGACATCAAAGAATTGAAAGATTATGCGATCATCTTCGGGGAGCTGTACAGATGCCTTCCATGAGGTATTTTGACCCACTGCATAGGGATAACAGAAGCACAAATGATGCTCCAAGAGGTACATGAGGTCACTTGCAATTTGGAGCCAATAATCAGCTTGTATCAATGTTTGCAACGCAAGGGTTATTACTGGCCAGAAATGAAGAAACAAGCAGCTGAAATGCAAGCCAATTGTCCCAAGTGTGCAACGATACCCTCCACCGAAGAATCATTCACCATTTCGTTTGCGAAGGATTGGAGGACTCCGTACTTGGCATCCTTCATCAACGGGGTTCTGCCAACTGATTCCAAGCATGCTCGCAAGCTCAAAAAGACAATGAAAAGGTACTTAATAGATGGGTTGACTCTCTACCGCAAAGGGTTCAATGGTGAGCCATTAAAATGCTTGGGAGAATCAGAAGCACAGCAAGTCATGTAAGAAATTCATGTTGTAGAGTGTGGTGAGCACCAAGGAATGAAGAGGCAGCTATTGAGTGTCGGGTATTATTGGCCAACTATGAAGAACGACGGATATAACTTTGTAAAGAAGTGCCACACATGCCAAGTCCACGCCAATTTAAGTCACAAGCCTCCCACACTACTGCAGGACATGCCCACTCCTTGGCCCTTTCACACTTTGGGGCTTGACTTGATTGGAACTATTCATCCACCATCCGACGGCTACATATAGATCCTCACAGCCACTGAATATTTCACGAAGTGGGTAGAGGCGGTTCCTCTTCGGAAGGCCACAGGGGCAACCATTGCAAATTTCATCCGTGAATACATCGTATGCAGATTTAGAATCCCGTATAAGATTGTCACCGACAATGGCACCCCATTTGTCAATAAGCAAGTAAGCTCGACGCTTAGTGGCTATGGTATCAAGCATCGTCGCTCCACGCCATACTACCCACAAGGAAATGGTCAAGTAGAGGCCACAAACAAGACTTTGTTAAGAATCCTAAGCAAAATGGTCCACGAGTATGAAGGAGGTTGGAGTGTTCACCTGCCAGATGCTTTATGGGTTTACCGCACCTCTCGAAGAAGCGCCACAGGTTTCTCACCTTATTCACTTGTGTATCGGTCCGATGCCATTTAACCGGTGGAGATTACCATCCCCACTGCCAGAGTATCAACTGTTAATGACCTTGAATGCGATACAAAGTCATGCTCGGATTGGCGCCTGCTGGACCTCGAAGCTTTGGATGAAAAAAGAGCAGAAGTCGAAAGGAGGACAATGTTGTACCACAAAATGGTAGCCCAAGCTTATAACAGGACAGTCAAGCCCCGAGCCTTCAAGCTAGGAGACCTCGTGCTAAAAGTCGTGGACCATGTAAGAAGACAAGTATCGGGACCTTCCAAGTTTGCCTGGCAATGGGAAGGCCCATTCACAGTCAAAGAGGTTTACAACAGCGGCTATTATCGCTTGGTCTCTGTCAAAGAAGGCACGCTGACGGATCCCATAACGGGAAGTGGCTCAAGCCCTACTACTGCTAAGTTAATTTTATGCCCAGTACTTTTATTATCGTATTTCCCCTCTGTTTTAAAAAATGAACTTCTTCTATCTTATTTTCATATTTTGAAAAAGACACTTTTGTATGATACACCATCATGGTGGCAAGGGCTTGGCAATGAGAATGAAGGAATATTTTGCAAAATATATATACTATGTCTCTAAAGTTTTATTAATTATATTTTCAAATATCCTTTCACAAAATACACAAAAAAAAAAAAAAAAAAAAAAAAAAAAAAAAAAAAAAAAAAAGTAAAACAAAATACCACTTAGCAGTAAGACATACCAAGCAAAGTCACTTTGATGGGGTCCCGAACCATCAACAAGCATCACGCTTAAGTACAAAAAAAAATAGCATAAGGCATGAAAAGCCAATCTATTGCAAAGAAGCACACAATTTCGAGGTGTTGGAACAACATGATGCGCACAACACCTGGGAGTTTTATAAAGCCTGGGTAAAAATCATGCATATATTAACTTGGCCTTTTAGGCAAGGCAAGAAGCTGTTTTCCAAGCCTAGAGTCTAAATAAACCATGCAAAAGAAACTTCAGAAATTCTGCTCCTGTCAAAATTTTGGCAACATATGTCTTGTTTTTAAGGGTATCCAACCTATCAGAAAACTTCAAGCAGTTCACAAAGACGAGTTTTGCCAACTAAGAAATACATACATACATACATATATATATATATATATATAAGACATGCGAATTACAACATGCTTCAAGAATTCATAAATTAATACAAGCTTCAGTGGTTTAATACCAAATTACAAAGTCATAACGACATAGCCGTTAGAATGTAAAAAAAAGAAAACTACAGTCAAAGCAAAATAAAACTACACATGCTAAAGGTTCATGCGTCCTACAGTCTCAAGGAAAACAGAACCAAGAAAATATGCGCCACCAAGCCAAGGAAGAACAACTTGCAAAAGAAAAGAGGTATGTGTCAAGGCTAGTTGATGCTGGAAGAAGTAGCATGATAAAAAAAAGAATAAAAAATAAATAAGTAATGGGCTAAATACCTTGAGGCTATGGGGAACGCCTGAAGAAGACGGAGGAAGCCCTAGGAGACGCTCTGGCTGCTGCTTCCGCCACGCATTCAGCACTGTCAGCAGAAACACCTTTAGCAAGAATGAGGGCATGTAATTCCTGGTGTTTGTCCTCTAATTCTCGCTGTTTAAAATTCAAGGAGTTGGCAGCAGCTCTTATCTCATCAGAACCATGTGATAACGCCATACTATGAATGGCCCGCGCTCCGAAGACGGCACGCGCGAGGTCCTTCACAAGGTTGAGAAGGAAGTCCATATGAAAGCCTAGAGTTATGGCCTCACATATCGCGTCCTGCCAGCAAAATAGTTTGTGATCAATGATATCAAGAAGCTGCATGGTGCCTATCCCGTGAAGCACTAAGCCAAGGGCTCTAAAGGCAACACACCTTGAGAAAGAATAGGTGATGTCGGAAGCTTCCATGAAACTCCCATATTTATCCATGAATTTTCTCAAGACTGCAACCGTCTTTGGATACACAAGTGCGCCTTGGAATGCCACATAACCGTTGAATTTGTGGTAAAGCGGAAGAAGCTCGTCAATGGACCGAAGAATTGTGACACCGCCATCGAAAAGGGCTCTAAATGCCGTGAAGGAATTTTCCCAATCCTGCCAAGACATGCTTTTCTCGGATGAATGCCTATCGAAGGTACCTGCGATAAAAGCATCAACATCCTTGTGGCTATCTTCAATGATCTCAGTAGGAGATAGCACTGCTGGAAATGGTGGAGAGGTGTCGGCAGCCATATCAGATGTGCCCAAGATAGGAGGAAGCACTGCTGGAAGTGGTGGAGAGGCGTCGGCAGCCATATCGGATGTGCCCAGGATAGGAGGAATAGGAGGAAGCACTGTTGTAAGTGATGGAGAGGCCCCGACAGCCATGTCGGATGTGCCCAAGATAAGAGGAGTTAGAGGTAGCACTTCTAGAAGTGGTGGAGAGGTGTCAGCAGCCATGTCAGATGTGCCCAGGATAAGAAAAGTCGGAGGTAGCGCTGCTGGAAGTGGTGGAGAGGCATCGGCAGCCGTGTCAAATGTGCCTAGGACAGGCGAAGCAAGAGGCTGCGCTGCTGGAAGACCTAGGGCAGCATCAGCAGCAATAGCAAGAAAGTCAAGGCCGACCTCCGATGAGTCACCTGCAATGGGCACAACCTGTAGGAGAAGAACAAGGTATGAATTGCAAGTCACAACAAGCAGCATGCAACGTAAATATACCAAGTAAAACAAGCAAGAAGGTCATTTGATACCAATTCAATGTCAACACGTTGCCCACGGTCACTAGCAAACTTGGGAGGCATATCTTAAGCATCTGGCTCCTCCAAGAGAGTGTCGAAATCCGGATAGGTGTCTTCATCACAGCTATAGTATTGGTCTTCGTCAGGGTCCTCATCCATGCCACTTGTGCAGTGAGTGCTCTCTTGCCCATGGGTGCTAATCTCAGCCTTTGCAGCACCACTTTCGTCACTGCTATCATCATCATCATCGATTGTTACAATTACGTCAGGTCCATAGCCTTCACCCTTGTCTTTGCAGGTACTAGCAAATCTTGTTTGAAGTATGCGCATACTTCGGCGCTTTGGAACCGTATGGGTTACTTTGCCTTTGCCCTTGGTTTTGGACGAACCTGTAAATCAAAAGAAAGGGGAGAGATGGGAAACAAGTTGAAAACAAAGTAAAAATAAAAAAATAAAAAAAGACAAAAGACAAAACTTATTGTGGGGAGACGAAGCTTCTGGCACCTTGTCAACCCTCTTGCTGCTGCCAGAAAACACGGGTTGCTGCTGTGGTAAAGGTTATGAGAGAGCATCCCTTTTGGGGCTGGGGGGACCACTTGCTACTACCTTGGGGATAAAAAATTTTAGGTCCCTTTATAGCTTGTCTTTTCTCCTCAACGCTGCGGCTCTCCTCCCGCTTTCGTTTTCCATATGCAACACTTTTCCCGGCACTGTGAGAACCCGATTTCTCCAACTTCCGCTTTAGCTTCAAAAAATCACCAACAATCTCTCCGCTTTTGAAAGTAAAAGGGCAGATTCCGCTTCTCACTTAAGGAGATGGCCTTCTCTTCCGACACTAAGCGGGCATGACGGACTATGGTAGGAAGTAATCGATCGCAATGGGCAGCGTGGAATCAACTAAATGCAGCGAAGCAACGATTCCAATAGCTTTGGTAAGCTTTCGAGAGACCGCCAGCACGCCCTTTGTTGGCCAAGGCAAGAGCAAAGGGCTTGCCATCTCTCAGCACGTGATCCTCAGTCCAAAAGACTTTATGCAATGAAGAAGGCTCTCCGTGGATAGGACAGAAAGGCACACCCTGATTGAACCCAAGCTGTCGTCTGACTCGGTAGGGTGAATAATGCACGGAAATTTCCAGGTGGTCATCACCCAATGTAGGCAAAGGGAGGCACGAATCGCTTAGCAACGCTTCCCTTCTCAATTGATGGCCCTATGTTGTCATTATTGGGGCCTCAATTAGATCATCGGAATCAGCATAGAAGGGTATACATTTAAATCCCTCAATTAGAGCATAGTAAGGGCGAACGATAAATATTTCGAAATCATCCAGCAGCTCTAGAAAATTCTGGCCCTTCCTTTGCATTTGTCACGACCACCTGCAAATCAAGGGGAGACTCTCCAGTACGTAGGAACCCTCATCAGAATCGGCAAGTGTCTTAGCCTTTGAGTAGGGAAGCATGCTGCCCTGTGTTAAGATTTTGCACCTGGTCAAGCAAGCGGTATAGGTGCCCCAAGAACATGGGAGCTAGAGGAAGCATGCTACCCTGTGTTATCGCCAATGCCAAAGGAAATATCTGCTCGTGCAGACAGTCTTGAGAAAAATCACAGAAGATGAATCTCCCAAGCCATAATGATATAAACGCTGCAAGACGACACAGCTCATTCCTATTAACATCCTCGAAAATTGTATCCAGTTGCTAAACCGTAGAGAAGTGCTAGGAGAAGTCAGGGCACCCTTTCATAAAGTTTCAAGCTTTAGTTTATCTTCTAGAGTCAGCGCAATGTGGAAGGGGTCTTGGTTGCCCCAAAATGGGAGGTGGAAAAGGTTGGCTACATCCTCAAGTGTGGGAGCGAACTCTCCCCATGAACAGATAAAGGTGTGTGTCTCGGTACTCCATTGCCTAACCATGTGCCGGAGCATCGTGGCTTCAATATGAATTTCGCAAGCTTTAGAAATAAAGATGGCATCCAGCACCCCTGCCCGACTCAGAATGTCACAAGTGGAAGGGTCCCTCAATTCATGGTCAACCCACTCTGACCAACCCTTGCTGGTGCCACATGGATATTGGAAGAATAAAAGGACTGCCGGAAATAGGCCCTTCTCTATGCAGCATCTCGATATGGATGCGGGATCAACCACTAGAGTTGTTTTCGACGGTGGCTCCCCATCAATGATTATATCTTCATCAGCACTCTTAAGCAAAGGAGGCGGCCTCCCTCTTTTCAATATGTCATCTATGGAATAAAGATGATCCCTCATAATGAGCGACGGATCAACGAACGCCATGACCAGTCTTGGACGGCAAAATACGGCACACATACAACAAAAAAAAAAAAAAAAAAAAAAAAAAAAAAAAAAAAAAAAAAAAAAAGGGAGGAGTTTTATTTAAAAAAAAACAAACAATTCAATGACCCAAGAAATTCTTATCCTGTGAATCAACAAGCAGGACAAGCAGATTCTCTCTTTCGAAACAAAGATCAAGCATTACAAGATATGCGCTCCTACTTCTTGCAATCGAGAACAAAGTCTACAATTAATCAAGCATGTATTCACAAATGGGAGTAAGCCTAGGCCAAGCACCAGTCTATGCTTATTCCTAGAATGTTCAAATCAGCAGAGTTACTCACCAAAATATTAAAGCAAAAGCCCTAAATATCCAAGTTAGAAGGTTGGAGGAGTTGAAGGTTCCAGTAGCAGAAATGTCAAGGCTTCCAGCACTTGCCCTCACCTATGCCTGAGACGTATACACCTGCACAGAAATAAAGAAAAGAGAAAGCACGTCATGTCGAGACTAGCCTTTCCATAAACATAGAGGAGATCGTTGCAAGGTAAAAGTAAAGGAGAAGAAAAGGGGAGAAACCCAAGCCAACGGTTTCCTCCCACAGAAAAATGGGTACCTTTCCAGCAGCCCTAACAAATCAAAGAGGAAGGGAATCTCAGAAGACTGGTGCAGACACTTCCTTGCTGGCACCCACGCTATAAGCATCCACGTTGCTGCAATAAAAAATAGGTCAAAAGAGGTTTGGTGCTTGACTGCCAAAATAAGGGGGAATATCCATGGGTGTGAAGAACCCGATGAATTCTCCAACTAATTTACAAGGAAAAATAAGGGAAAAGGCATACCGTGTTGAATCTCCCAAAGGAGGCCTTGAATGTGCCAAGGAAGGGGAAAGAAAATTGGAGATTTGAAGGAGAAACCCACGCAAAGGAAAACCCTTCCAGCAGCAACGAACGGGCTCCCTTTAGATGAAGACGGGACGACAGGGTCGAGTCTGACTTGGGCTTTCTTCCCAGTGGCTGGAGGTGAATGATTTCAGCTTGATTTCACTCTCTTTTTGGGTCTGGCGTGTGAAAAGAGAAGAAAAAAAATTGGAAGGATTTGTGTCTGGTGCGAGAAAAGAGAAAGAAAGGGAAGAAAAGGGAGAAAATAATAAATAAATAAAAGGAAGGAGAAGGCGGTTGGCATTGGGAAACTGCAAATAACTACTGGGGCTAATCATGACACGCCGTCATTTTGCACGCAGGAAGAAGAGAGGTTCCTTACAAATACAAATATGATCTTTTGGGTTGGGTTTAATTACTCGGCCCATTCCAGCACTTGCCCATGGCCGGTTGGGCCCGAATATTGAGACCCAAAAAAATTCACGGTTGGGCCCGAATAAACTATCATGCCCAAAATGACATTCTAATAAATTATCATGCCGAAATTAAACATCACAGTTCTTCCCAAGGACGATAAATTAAAACATGCCAAGCGACATGCCATGCCAAGCACGAAATCGTTATCTCATGCCCAACCATGCAACAAGCCTAAGTGGGCCCAAGCCACTCAAACGCTCGGGGCTTGCTTGAGTGGGTTGTGGTATGGATGGTAATAAATCAATATGAGGCCCATTAATGGGCCGAGAAATGGAAAGTCTAGGGTTGCTTGGGAGCCTCTAGACTCAAACCCATTTCTTAGGCCCAAATATGTGTGTGGGCACAAGGGAAAAGAAATAGCCCAAATAGCTTATTGACTCAAGCCCAATGTTTAATAAAATAGACCACTTATTTAATGAACCACCTTGGCCCATGCAAAACTTCACAAATAAGCCACAAAAACCTCAGCCCCTTGCTAGAAAAATGGAAGCCATGTAGAGAAGGTCAGAGGGTTCATTGAACAAAGCTGCTAGAGGTTCCAGCACATGGGGGAAGCAAGTTCCAAGCAAGAAGCATTCAAGGAACCAAAGAATATTAGCCTGCGAGCTGCCAGAAGCACCCTTTGAACCAACATGTATATCCACTTCCTTTCCTTCATCAAATCTGGCCAAGGAAGGAAAAAAGGAAATAAGAAGAAAAATAGCTAAGAATGGACCCTTCAACTGGAACAACTACGGGAAATAGGGCCTTGAGCTTCCAAAGTTCCTGATTTTGTGCCAATAGATAGAGGAAGTTTCACTAAGATAGGAAAAACCAAGGGAGGAGAAGAGAAAGGAGGAGAAAAGCTTAGCCAAAATGGGAAGAAACCATTAGGGTTTCTTGGGAAGGGATGATTTCCAGCAACTATAAAATAAGGCCTCTTTTACCCAACAAAGGACAACTCAAAATGAGGGAGCAAGCTTTCTCTCTAACTTGCAAAAACCCAGCAATCTCATGCACTATTCACCTTCTTCTCCATTCTTCTCTGGCATACAGAATATCTGTCGAGCTGCCGGAAGAGCATCGTTTCTTATTTCTCTCTTCTTAGCCAAATCTCCTACAAACCCTCTTCTTTCTCACCTTAACACTTCCATTTTTCCCCTAGGAAAGCCTAAATTCCCCCTCAGTGCTAAACTCATGTTGGTTTTGCTTCCATGCCACATGCCTCTCATGCTAAGCTCAAAAGTTTATCTGTAAGCCTGCACAAATTACCTGTAAGTTGCTATTGTTTCGGTTGGTGAAGGTAACCTAAATACTTCCTAAGGCTCTGCTGCCCTTTCGAGGTATTTTTGGGGCTTAATTTTCAAACTCAGACAAATGAGACAATTTCATCAGTCTGCCCTTTATGGCAGCCCAGCCCATTTTCAAACTTTGCGCATGACCCTGTCCCCAGTTTTGAAAGCACGGAGTTTGACTTGAGAGTTGTAATACTTGGCTATGCGCTGTTTGTACGGGACGTTACGTATGTTGGATTGGTCACGAAGCTCGCCAATGAAGTCGAGGTTCAGGGTTAACTGCTCGTCATTGGCTTCGGCATCATAAGTGGAGGTTCGGTATGTGGACTAGCCAATCTCCACTGGGGCCACAACTTCAGTACCAAAGGAAAAAGAGAACGATGTTTCTCCTGTTGAGGTATGGAAGGTGGTGCGGTAGGACCAGAGAACCTCTGGGAGAAGCTCTGGCCAGCAACCCTTGGGTTTGTGAAGCTCGATCTTCAGGGTCTTCTTGATGATCTTATTCACAGCTTCGACCTGGCAATTGGACTGAGGATGGGCTAGGGAGGCGAAGCAAAGATATATCTTGAGGTTGGAACAAAATTACTTAAATTTGGCATTGTCAAATTGCTGGCCGTTGTCTGTGACAATGGTGTGGGGGATGCCGAAGCGATGTATGATATTCTGCCAGACGAACGTTTCGATGCGAGTTGTGGTGATGGTAACTAAGGCTTCAACTTCAGCCCACTTGGTGAAGTAGTCCACAGCTACAATTGCATACTTGATCTGGCCCTTACCATCGGGCATAGGTCCAATGAGGTCAAGTCCCCATTGGGCAAATGACAAAGAACTGGCCATGGTTGTCAATGGTTCAGCTAGAAGTTGGCAAATTGCTGACACTTATCGCACTTCTAAGTGAAGGCCTGGGCATCAGTATGAAGTGAGGGCCAGAAGTATCCTTGCATAATGGCTTTATGTGCTAGTGAGCGAGCGTCTGAGTGATTGCTGCAGATGCCCTCATGAATCTCCCAAATGAAATATTTACCTTCCCTAGAGTCAGGCATCGAAGGTAGGGGAGACTGAAGCCATGCTTGTATAGAGCGTCATTGATGATCAAGTACCGAGCGGAGCGATAGCGAACACGCCGCGCTTCTGCAAGATTAGCAGGTAGTGTCTGGTTCTGCAAAAATTGAAGGATGGGTTCCATCCATGTGGGGCTGTGATCAAAGGTGCAGATGAGTGATGTTTGTGGATGTTGCAACCGATACCTTGCTCTATGGCTGAGGCTAGCCTAGCCAAAGCATCAGCATGACTGTTCTCAGAGTGTGGCACCTGGCTTATGAAATAAGCATCAAAAGTTGCAAGCAGGTGACGGGTATGCTGAAGATATGCCGTCATAGAGATATCATTGGTAGTGAAGTCCTGATTGACTTGATGAACAACGAGCTGGGAGTCGCTGAAGCGGAGGGCGTACTCAAGGGCCTATCTCTTTGGCTAGCCGAATGCCAGCTAAGAGTGCTTCATACTCAGCGACATTGTTGGAGGCGTGGAATTTGAAGCGGAGGGCGTACTCAAGGACAACCTGATTGACTTAAGGACGAGGCCGGCCCCATATACCTGGCATTGGATGAGCCATTCACATATAAGGTCAACAGGGGCTAGGTTAGGTCAAGGGTGCCATTGCTGGCTATGTGGACCTGGATTGAGAAAAGAGTGGGTTCGGTTATGATCTGGGGAACAGCCAAAGCTTGGGGTTGTGTGAATTCTGATATGTTTTGTAGCCAGGGCGGGGTTTATAGTGAATATCAAATTCACCCAGCTTAATAGCCCACTTAACCAACCTGCCAGAAGTCTCTGGCTTCTGCAATACCTGCCTCGGTGGTTGGTTGGTTAAGACATGAATGGTGTGCGCTTGGAAGTATGGTCTTAGGTGTCTGGCTGACACCACCAGAGCAAGGGCCAGCTTCTCGATATCTAGGTACCGAACCTTGGCATCTTGCAATCCCTTGTTAACATAGTGCACCGGATGTTCAGCACTTTCATGTGGTCGGATGAGTACTGAGCTGACGGCCGTAGCAGAGACGGAAAGGTAAATCGTGAGGATGTCTCCAGGCTCGGGTGTTGACAATAAAGGGGCCCGGCTCATATACTCCTTGAGCTCACTAAAAGCCTTGTCACATTCGGCAGTCCAGGTGATGTTTCGTTTGTTACCCTTACGGGCCTTGAAGAATGGGGCGCTGCGATCAGTGGCCTTAGAGATAAACCTGGTCAGGGCTGTGACGCGTCCGATAAGGCTCTGGATGTCTTTGACCATTTTAGGTATCTTCATGCGTAAGATGGCCTGAATTTTTTTTGCATTGGCTTCAATACCTCGCTGGCTGATCATGAAGCCAAGGAATTTTTCCGAAACTACACCAAAGGCACACTTCGTGGGGTTGAGCCTCATTTTATATTCCTTCAGGATGGTGAACATGACAAATATGTTAGAGATGTGCTGGTCAGCAGTGCGACTTTTGACTAGCATGTCATTGACATAAACCTCTATGGTGTTGCCAATCAGTAGGGGAAAGATGTTGTTCACAAGACGCTGATAAGTACCCTTAGCGTTCTTGAGGCTGAAGGGCATAACCTTGTAGCAGTAGAGGTCGCAGTGATGAAGGATGTATGGGCTTGGTCATCAGGGTGCTAAGGAGGGCGTGGCCAGCTGTGGCGTCAACAAGCTGGTCGATTCGTGGTAAAGGGAAGCTATCCTACGGACAAGCCCGATTAAGGTTGGTGTAGTCTACACACATGTGTTAGCCTTTCTTTGGTTTACGTACCATCACCACATTGGCTAGCCAGGTGGGATAGTCTACCTCCTTGATGAATCAAATGCTGCTCAGCTTATCCACCTCCGCCTTCATGGCCTCATACTCCTCTGGGTCAAAAGCACGACGCTTCTGCCGAACAGTTCGGACGGCAGGATTAATGCTTAGCCTATGAGAAATGATATCATGTGATATGTCAGGCATATTGTTGTAAGACCAGGCGAAGACCTTGGAGTTGAGGCGAAGGAATGCCACGAGGTCAAAGCAAAGCTCCTGAGAGAGGGAGGTGTCGTTCCGGACCTGCCGATCAAGGATGTCATCATCGAGTCTAACAAGCTCAAGGTCTTCCACAGGTTCGGCCTGTTGGGTGACATATTCATCCCTAGGGTCTTCAGGTTGTTTAGTGCCAGCTCGAGGAGGGGCTTGAGCCTTGGTTACTGCAAGGGCCTCACCCCTATGCTAGCGATTGGTAGACTTGACCACTAAAGCATAGCAGCTTCGGGTGCCAAGTTGGTCGCTACGCACCGTGCCCGTGCCATGGGTGGTGAGGAACTTCAACAGTAGCATATGCGTGGAAATAAAAACCTTCATTTGCGCCAAGGCAGGGCATCCAAGGATGACATTATAAGTTGTGGGGCAATCAACGATAAGAAAGGGAGTGGTGGCTGTCGCCCGTTGGGGGCTGAACATCACCGGAGAAGCTCACAAGAGGTGTGATGCTTCGGTCTAGCAAATGAGCAAGAACTTGGAGCTCGTTGAAAGCATCAGCAAATATCACACTGACTGAGCGGCCAGTGTCCACCAGAATATGCCTAATATTGAAGTTATAAATGTCTGTGCGGATAATGAGTGGATCATCATATGGAAGAATGACGCCACGTTCTTCCTTTTCACATAAGGTGATGGGGGCCCAGCCTAATTTTTGCGTCTTAAGCATGCGTCCCTGCTCAATGCTGAAGACCTGGTGCACATAGGAAGAACGGACATAATGTTTGATTTTGTTGTTAAAGGTTCCAGCCAACGTGGGACCACAACTGATGGTGGAGATCATGTTGATCTGCCTTTTGGTGAGGGATAGATGGGGGTGGGAGGTTATGCACATATTTATCCAGCTGTCCCTCACGAATAAGTCCTTCAATGATGTTGCTCAATGCAACACAAGATGCGGTGCTGCTCGCTCTCCAGACGACGGACATTCTCAAAGAGAAGCCTCATGGCTGGGTTTGAAACGACCCGACCCAAATTCCACTTTGAAATCCGGGCCGAATCCTGTTTAAAACTGACACCTGGTAACCGTGGGTCGTAAAAGACCAAAATACCCTGATAAACAATAACATAAACCCTGAGCCCCTAACTCGTGGCTGCGCCTGATAACTGTAGGCTGCCTACGTACCCTTACTGAGGGATCAAGCCACACGTAGTTCTTTCTTCTGTAACTGAACTGTTTACTGTAAACCTGGTTCTAGGGTTGGCATTCCTGGAGTATCCGGGACTCCGTTTTACGATCCGTCAAACACTGTACGATCCTGGGCAAGCTATTGCTAATGCTATTGTTATGAATTTGTAATCAATTAGACATTAACTACGTATGTACATATACAATTTGTAATGAAATATTGTTACACCTTTTTCTTTCAAATCATAGGAGAAGGAAGGCAAGAATCAAATTCTTGATGATTCTTGATGGGAGTGTGAAAGTAAATGTTCTACCATTGAAGTCAAAGAAATTCACATTAACACCGTATAAAGCAATACAGAGAGAATAAATAAAAAAGAATTTCTTATTAGTATGTACGTAGTTCTTAACATGACATTTCTTTTCCAAAAACATTACAAATAAATAAAAAGAAGAAGAAACAACAATTCAGAGAGAGAGAGAGAGAGAGAGAGTTTTGAGGGTTGCAGAAGATTATGCTCTGAAAATATAGTATAGAACTGAATACTACTGATAAGAAAACTGAGTAAGAAAGTAAGAAGAAACCATATTTACTCTTTTTGATGATGATCAGCTTTAAAGGTTAACATCAAAAACCAAAACTGCATGGCAGACATTTTCAAACCCTTTTCTTTCCCTCAATATGAAAAAGGCGTTACGTTGGGTCTCTCTCTCTCTCTCTCTTCTCCTCTTCTCTCTCTGTCGTCTGTCTGCAACTTCACTGAATCACTGTCAATGATCTGCAGCTGGCAGATGGCAGCTAGCTTGACGATTTGTGATCCGTAACTTAGAATCACGGCAACTAATAAATCAGGAAAAGTAAAAAGGAGGATGGTGAAAAAAAAGAGAGAGGAAGACCCTGGCATGGCAGCGCAGAGCCACTGGATCATTCAATTCTTTACCAGCTAAAAGCCACAGAAACGTCTTGCTTTTCATGCACAATGCTTCACGAAATCTCTGTTTATTTCAATTTTGAAGATCATCTGTCAGAGATTAGAATATTTTTCTTGGAGAATAATTTTTTTTTTCGGTTACAGTTTTCTTGGTACATTTGTTAACTTTTATTTGTCAAACATTAAATTTCATTAAATTTGACTTGTAAACAATGGTCTCAGATTCAAATATATATAGCCCTAACAAAAAACTATTGACTATTTGCCCTTATAGTTTAGACTATCGTTTGTATTTTTTTTAAAAAAAATTCATTGGATGAGATGAAGGAACAAAAGAAAATTGCAGTAGAGACGCCTCTACAATTAATGGGCCTTTTCATGTAAAAATTGCAATGACCACAGGCCCAAACAAGGATAGCAACTGAACCAAACTACAATATAAGCCCTAACAAAATTCTGACAAAGAGAAAAGAGGTACAACCAAAAACCAATAAAACAATGAAGAGACCCTGCCGCCAGCGGAAGTTTCCGCCACAACAAGATGGAGGTATGGACCAACATGGAAAAAAGTTATGATTGCACTGCGGTAACAGCAGCATAGTCCGAGAAACGCCAAAAGACAAAAACATCAGAGCCAAAAGTTAAAAGGTAACCTAGTTTGTAAACAACTTGTAACTCAAGTGATTAAGTGTTACATGTTTGAATCGGTTCGATATAATTAAATAGCTAATTTTATAATCTAATTGTTAATAGTTTGTAGATTCGATTTGAGATAAAGAGAGAAAGACGAAAAGATAGACCAGTTCGTTTCATTTCAACTACTAATCTTATAATCTGGTTTCTCAATTTAATGATTCAAAATGTGTGGTGTAGCCCTGCTTACATTTCCATGTGTCTTTTGTTTGTATTACCAACTCTTTTAATCTTATTCTTTTATTAGTGTGTACTTGCCTAAAAGATCAAAAACAAGATTGGTCTAGTTTTTGTTTCCTATTTAGTTGACCAGTCAACAAGGCTGCATCATAAAGACAATTAAATGTAAAGGGATGGATACCATAGAGAAGATGTACTACCCAAACCAAAAAAAAAAAAAAAAAAAAAAAAAAAAAAAAACACACTGCTTTCCTCCTTTTCCGAAAGGAGGTATTCATACTTCTTGTAAATCACAATTTGATATATATGTAAAATAATTTATTAAAAATACTAAATGAAAAATCTCTCTAAACATATCAACCTGTAAGTAGCAAAGAAGTATAAATTCTTACTTCCAGAAAATGAGGCAAGCATTTTCTTTATAAAAAAAAATTCATTCAATCTACAAGAAACCCTATTATTACAATGGCAACTGCAGTCAAACCTCATCTGACTGCTTGAAGGAGGAGAGAACCAGATTCATTGAATGTTCAATGTAACTAGTAATTAATAACTGTATTGCCTCCCTCCTCTTTGATTCCTTGATTTTTGACAACAGTAAATTTGTTTAAATTTACAACAGTAAATTTGCTGCAGATAAGGCAGACTTTAGACTTATACAACAGTAACTTGCTTTCCTTTTTCGTATTGTTCCTTTCACTCTTCTGTTCCCCTTCTGCATCTCTCTCTCTCTCTCTCTCTCACAGACCACACCACACCACCCGCATTTATTCACCTCCTGTTCCTCCCTTCCTTTATCCAACCCCTGCACAGATTTAACCCTAAACCTCTTCTCTCTCTCTCTCTCTCTCTTCTCTCTCTCTCTCACAGTGTTAATTTGTTGCTTCTTGGGTCTCTACTGTTTTTTTTTTAATTTATAATTTTCATTTTCAAGGCTTCTGTTTGAATTTGGTGGATGACTTCATGGTGACAGGATGTGCATTTTCACCACCATGAATAATCCATTTTATCTTCTCTTCAAAGCCGCCAGAGCCATTATGCTTCTGCATTTTCTTCTTCTCTCTCCAGCCTCCTGTTTTAGCACTCATTCTCTCCGGGTAAGAACAAATTATTTAACCCTTCCTGTTCAACTAATCTTCAATTTACTACAAAATATATTTCCTAATTTGTTTGATTAAATTGCAAATTATGATGTTCTTGTTGTGCTCATTCTGCAGGGCCTTTTATTTGAGGAGAAAACCAGGCTGGGATCCACGCCGCCCAGCTGCCACAACAAGTGCAACCAGTGCCATCCATGCATGGCGGTCCAGGTGCCTACAATACCCAGCCACGATCGGGTCGAAACGGGCATGACCCGATCCTTCCCAATGATGTTCTTCGACCCATCTCATCCGGGTACCAACAACAAGTACTCCAATTACAAGCCTCTGGGTTGGAAATGCCACTGTGGTGATCACTTCTTCAACCCTTGAGCTAGTTCAAGTTCCATGGGGAAATTTCATGTCAAAATGGAGCTGGGTTTCGTTTAGATTTGTAAACTACAATTGATGTGTGATTTTTCAGTTGTGATTTGGGATTTTGTAATTTTGTTTAAGCGGTGAGGGCATTAATTCTTTATAAACAAATAGGAGAAAAACTTGTATATCACGGAGATAACACTGTTTTGTTATCCTCGACAAATTTTGTTTCAACGTTCATGATAACTTTTTCACATGACGAAATATGAATATTTTAATATAGCAAAACAATGTTATCCCGTGATCACGTTCTTATCCACAAACGGGCATGTGTCTGGTGTTGTTGTCACCATTAAATCTCTGCACTTAGATATATTATATTATACAATGTACATAAATTTGTTACAAACTTCTGAATCCTGATCTTGCTTTTGGCGTGCTTTCATTTCTGTGTTGAGCTTTTTTTGTCTTCTTTATTTTTTTTTCTTTTCTAAATTCAATTATTATGTATTGGTCCTTCTATTTGACTGTGGAAAATAATTAATTTGGCATTATTACAATGAAAAATTAACAATAAAAATTATAATTTTTTTAATTCAAAATGACAAATTTCATCAAAATAACTAAAGTAAAAGAAAAATAAATGCCACCGAGCTGAAATTATGAACCACAAAATAATTACAAGACCTGTGAACAGCTTTCATGAAATTTATTTAAAATATTATTTTTGGATTTTCCTTATCTCTGGGGGTACATGGCCCATCACCATATATACGATACATCACTCTCTGCTCCACTGGTCCACTCTCGTATCTTTTGGTTACTGTAACAATCTCCATCAAACTGACCAAAATGCGCCTCAGCATTCAAGATCTGATGTGTGACAGTTGAAGGTTATTTTGGTGATTATAATATTTTTTTATTTTTTTATTTAATTTTTTTCTGTGCCCTAGCAACCTCCTCCTGCATCTGCACAACTCAACCGTACCCTAGCTAGAGCTAGCCATGCAGAAGTTAAATGCCAACCTTGTCGTTTGTTCCCTAAATTCTAGAATTGGAGACAACAGGCTGAAAGGCCTTGTCCAAGTCAGGTTTTCAAGCAACGCCAAACAGATTGTAGGTCAATTAGAGCATTTCACAAGTTAGCCATTTGCCATGGTAAGGAGAGTAATAGGGCAGCTATCATTTATGTGAATAGTAATTGCCTTAGTTCCCCCACAGGAAAGTATGTTTCCAGTAGTTTAGGCTTACCATGGCAAATACTATTTATTTTTTTGTTTTTTTCACAACTTTTTCTACTTAAACAATTAATTTGGATAATATTTTCGGATAAGATTTTTGGGTTCCTACGTGTCAATACTATTATTGGTTGGTATTTATAGACACTGGCGGACCCATAATTTTTTTAGCGGAGGTGCAATATGGACTAAGTATGAAAAATGGTCTTTCGGAATAATCATTTTCTCAAGATAATTTTTGGCGGCTTTTATTCATTACACATCAAATAAGAAAACTTGATTTTATGGGATTTTAATATGAAGTATATATTGACTTAATGAGCCATCATTTTTAGCCTAAATAGTATTTTGCACTAAAACCGATTTTTCATATTTTGATTTGGTGGGAATTTGATTTTCTAGTATTTTTATTTGAATCCAAATAGGGGGTACTTCCTTATTTACATTGTAAACTTAAGTAAATAGAGTAATATAAAAATAAATGAAAGTAAAAGGACAAAGACATTTACTTAAATGTTGAAAATAGAAATAAGGTATAAAGAAAAAAACAATCCATAATTTTTTAGTTTTTTTTTCATTTTTTCATTTTTTTTTTCATTTTTTTATTGGGAAAAAATTGGCTATCGATGGATTGCTGGAAAAAATGGAATCCGAGAGCCCAGAGCCACCCACGTGGAAGAGAGCCGTTGGGGGGGGGGCACTGTAGCGGGCGCGCAAATTTTTTTTTAAAGTTGGCGCGTGCTTAAAAAAAGGGCTTGTCCAATATAGACCTCTACATTTTCTATTTCCTAGACATATACCCATCACTCTATAAATCTTTGGGTAAAACCCAATTTCAAATTTAAATGACCAGTAGGATATAAGAGGTCGTAGTATTTCTATGTTTTTACATCGTTGCCACTAAACTTCATATTTTATTTATAATTTTATTTCAAGCATTTCATTAACTGTCATAATTGTAATTAATATACTCCCTATTAATAGCATATCAATCACCCCATTTCTTTTAGTTGTCATTCCCTCTCACATCTTGCCCACTAAAATTGCAAACAAAAAAAAAATCTGTAAATTACATATCCAATAATGTACCTATGAAAAATATAATATAAATATATACATATAAAATATAGGTATATTATTTACCAAAAAAAAAAAAAAAGTCAGTTACTTTGTAATTGCATATATTTTTCATAATTAAAAATAGGTACACAATAATTTATATTAAATATAGGTACATTATTTTAATGTACTTACAAATGGTAGGTACATTATTTAATACCTAAATCCTAATTGTAAGTACATTAAAATTAATGTAGGTATATTGGATGTCGTATAATGTAGGTATATTGGAATAGATAATTATGTACACTTTTCATACTAGGTAAATTATATTTTTCATAAAACAAACAAGTAATAGGTACATTATTTTTTCAACATAATCAGTATGTACAGTTTTATTCATAAACAATTATAAAGTGGATTATTAGTCATGTATAATTCATAAAAAGAAAATAACATAAACATTTTATTAAACAAACTGATTACCCAAATTTGAATTTATTGTTAAATTTTTTTAAAATGTTTCAAAATTAATTCTTACATCCATTACAACCATTTGGAGATCTTTCCAAATTCAACATCTGTCATTATATACAATCCAATTAAAAACTATTTCCATATTGATTCCTACATTAATATACAAAATGCAATAATGGCTTAGTTGGGGGTATTTTTGGAATATGAAAAGTACAATAAATCAGATTTTATGCTTAATTAGGTAACTTGCTGAGTTAGATCCTAGTCATGGGTTTTTACTTATACAAATTGGGTATTATTTATAGGAACAAAAAGTGAAGGGTTTTAGGTACGGCAAATTGAATTTGAAGGGTGTAAGCCAAATTTACTATAAAAAAAATTTAACTCCAGCGCTGACGTCATCGTGACGTCAGCCCAAAACGAGTTTTGGTGCTTAGGCCAAACCTCCCCACGGGCCAGCCCAGTTCGCTGTGCCCCACTCCTTGCCCTGGCATATTTTTGTTGCTGGAAACACCATTTTGGGTTTACCCCCCCCTAGCCCTCCCCTTGGGCCCCTTGCTGGAAATGCTCTTACAAGGGTCAACTAACGGGCCTATATAAAGAGTATCCGATGCTGTGGGAAATTAATTTTTTCTCTTCTTTTTTGGCTCCACAAGTGTGACAAGCTAGATTCATAAATACCCTTTCTGCCAAATTTAGCTAGAATAACAAGCTCAATAACACTCTAGAGCTGCAACATTGTATAGGATTTGGTAACACGACATGAGCACACACGAAAAATTGAGTGTTCAAGTCGAACTTTGACGGGCTATGTTGATAACAAGGAAACCCGTTAAGAAATAGAAAAATTTTGTTTTATTTTTTTCATTAAGCTCTTAATTCTATAATTTGTGTTGAAATTTGAGTAGGAAAAGTTAGTCTCATATTGAAAACTCACAACTTTCTTTCACATCTTTATAATAGTTGACACCCTAGAATTAGAACTTGGACCTTCGAAAAAAAAAAAAAAAAAAAAATTGGACCTATTGAGTGGGCTTTGTACCAGATACCACTTGTTCTTTAAGGCCATCTCCTACTATGAGAGGCAAAACCTAAGATTTGAGATTTTAGCCAAAAACCTTCTCCAACCCATGTATTTAGAGGGGAAGAAATTTGAGTTGACTGAAAAATGAGGCGAAATTTGGACCCAGATTCTAGTCCAGGTAGAATTTTTGTGGGGCCTAATTCGCAGCAAACAAGAGCCACGTGGGGCCTCATTTGAAGCAAATGATGGGTTGTTGCCCACTACCCCAAGTTGGTGGTCACGTGTCAAGCCTAGGCAACTTAAAAATTGCAATTCAATGGCTGCATTTCAAATGGGCTTCTTTCAATATATATATTTTTTTTCAAACCTTATGGCTAGAAATCAACGGCTGTATTAAATTTTGGCTGAATCAAAGGGAAAAAAAAAAATTAAACAGCTGAAATTTAAATCCAAAGGTAAAAATAAGTAAATATATTATTCTAAGTTGGATGCAACCTCAAAACATATCCTAAACTGTATAAATACCCATCAATTTGTTAATAAAATTATGTTTGTGAAATTTCAAAAAATTTATGTCAAAATGTTCAAAAAAATAAATCATGGAGTAATATGCAAAAATTAACCGCAAAAACAAAATAGGATTACATTATTCTTTAACAATTTAATAAAGTTGCTGACTCGAATTATGAGTCCGCAAGGTTGGAGGAAAAAACAATTTAAGTCCTAAAAATACATGAATAGTTGTATTTTAGAGGGTGAAATTTTGGGTTTGAGTCCTCTAGGGTTGGAGATGGCTTAAGAACACACTGCTTGTGACTTTTTTTTGTCCAAGAAATGAATATGTCATTACCATAGAGAGTTACATAAAAACCCAGTACATAAGTCATAAAATAAAAAACAAAGGCTCAACCAAACAAAATAGAGCATTGGATTGGGAAAACAAGCCACCAACATGCATCATTCTCAAGCAATCCAAGTCAAAATTGACCATTAAACTATAGAATCCACACCTCCATATCAAGATCTCATATTTGAGGATGGGTTGTAGGGGAGAAATAGCAGCATCGAACCAGTAGACAACCAAGAAAAATCTAGGAAAGAGGAGGATTTTAGGATTTTAGTTTTCGTGGGAGGGAGATAGAAATGGATTGATGGGGGGTAAGTGTATGAAAGGAAAAAAGGGTGAGAGAGGTGTAATTGTTGAATAGTGTTGAGACCCAAAAAATTCACGGTTGGGCCCGAATAAATTCCCGACCCAATACGATACCTAACTTGGAAAGAAATCCAATTTGGGTACCCAAGAGTTCATCATATACGTTTGCACACATGACATGCTAAGCAAATAAGCAACACGCCACGATACAAGCTTAAGTGGGCCCAAGCCACGCGAATGCTCGGGGTTTGCTTGAGTGGGTTATGGTATGGATGGTAATGAATTGTCATGAGGCCTATTGATGGGCCGAGAAATGGAAGTCCCAGGTTGCTTGGGAACCCCGGAACTCAAACCCATTTCTTAGGCCCAAATATATGGGTGAGCACAAAGAGAGAAAAATAGCTCATTAACTCAACCAAAATAACCCAACTGTTGATAAGGTTAGCCCATTTACTTGGCAAATCAACTTGTTGTCTTAGAAGGCCCATACAATTACAATAAGGACCTGTAAAGCCCCAGCACTTGGCTGGAGAACAAAAGCCACGAAGGGAAGTCTGGAGGTCCACTACGCAGAGCTGCTGGGAGGTTCCAGGACATTGGGGGGGAGGGGGGGGGGAAGAACAAGTTTCAAGCAAAAAACATTCAAAGGACCAAGAGATATTGGCGCGCAGACTGCTAGGAGGTGAATCACTCTTTGAACCAACATGCATACCCATTTCTTTCTCTCATCAGACCTGGCCATGAAAGAAGAAAGGAAAGAAAGAAAGAGATGGCTGGGAATAGAAGTTCTCCACTGAGGCAACTACGGGAAGAGCATTGAGCTCCCAAAAATTCCTGATTTTGTGAGATTGGGCAGAGAAGATCTTGCCATAATAAGATAAGTCAAAATAAGATAGGAGAAAGGAAGGAAAAAGATTGGCCAAATTGGATAGAAACCATTAGGGTTTCTTGGAAAATGATAGCTTCCAACGGCTATAAAAGAGGCCTCTTCTACCTAACCAGGGACAACCCACATCTAGATAGCAAGCTTCATCTCTCATCCCTGAAACTCTGCAATTTCAAGCCTCATCCTTCCATCTCTCCCCATTTTCCCTTTCGGTAAACTTTTCCAAAGTTTGACAGCGTTTTCGTTGAGCTGCCGTAAACTACCCAGCACACCCACTACTTCATCACTAGCTAAAAACAACCCACATCTAGAGAGCTAGCTTCATCTCTCATCCCTGAAACTCTACAATTTCGAGCCTCATCCTTCCATTTCTCCCCATTTTCCTTTTGGGTAAACTTTTCCAAAGTTTGACAGAGTTTTCATCGAGCTGCCGGAAACTACCCAGCACACCCACTACTTCATTACTAGCTAAAAACAACCACATCCAGAGTGCAAGCTTCCTCTCCCACCTACAAAACCCAGTAAATTCGTGCTCTATTCACCATTTTCCCCCCAAGAACGTATAACTTTCTCTTCAGTGCTAAACTCATGTCAATTTTACTCCCATGCCACAAACTTCTCATGTCAAGCCAAGAATTTATCTGTAAGCTGTTGTTATTTTTGTTGGTGAAGGTAACCAAGGTGTTTCCTAAGGCTTCATTATCCTTTCGAAGCATTCTTGGAGCTTGATCTTTGAACTCAGACACAGGGGATAATTTCATCAATTCGCTCCTTACTGCAGCCCAGCCCATTTGCAGTTGCCGGAAGAAAAAAGCCCCTGCAAAGAGTAATGGTGGAGGAGATGTAGAGGAGATCTGGGCCTACATCTAGAAAATCAAGAGAGGAAGGGCAAACCAAAACAAATAGAAAAAGAGAGAAAGAAAAGCCACATCAGAGGGTGGTAGAGGTGCCGTCCTAAAGGGCAACGACACAGCCACCAGTTGCTCAGAAGAGGGCGGTGGGGAGAAGAGAGTGGTGGGGAAAGAGAGAAGTTCTAGAGAGAAGGGGGAGCCTCTCTCTCTAAAGCTCTCTCAGTGGCCAATTCGGTTTGGTTGTGTGGCATGTTATTATCCATCATTTTTATAGATTGCATTCAAGCTTGGGTTTTTTCCACTTGTTAGCTTAACGAGTGATGTTCGTGGTTAAATTTGTACACTTGTAGCGTATTATTATCCATCATTTTTACAGATTGCGTTCAAGCTTAGGTTTTCCACTTGTTAGCTTAAGGAGTCATGTTCGTGGTTGAATTTTTCCACTCGTTAGGTTTCACTTTAAGATGAAATAAAAAAAACAGCCATACACTACATAAACAAATAGAAACACATTTATACATACTAGTATACTACACAACAGTTTACTTTCTTTTGTTTCATTTTATTTGATCAAACATGGCATCGAGCACATAAGAAGCCCACATCCCAGAAAGAGGTCAATGCAAAAGAAAATTGATCCATGACCAATTTTAATGAAAACTTTGTCAGGATGCGAAAAAAGAAAGGCCATATTCATTAATTTGAGAATTTGAAGACTAGAATGAGAATGTTTTAAAACTTTAGGGACCACTTGCGATAAAACTTGTTTCTTATTTATTCCGAATAGTTTTGAAAGGCGAAAAAATGCAAAGTAAAATTTGAAGGGTTCACAACGGTCGTGCTTCACCCGCTAAATTACGACCACAGCCCAAAGCCACAGGAACCCAACCCAAACCCAACCAGCAACCCAAGCCAGCCAGCCATGGCGTGCACGATACCTCTCTCTCCTTCCTCCTCTTCTTTTCTACTCTCCCACACAACCATTTTCCGTTTCAGAAGCCCCAGACATCTTTCGACCTCCTCCTCACGAAGACGACTCTCAGTCTCAGTCTCTGCTTCGTCTTCTTCTTCTCTCCAAGCTCTGATTTTCGACTGCGATGGGGTAATCCTCGAGTCTGAGCACTTGCACCGCCAAGCTTACAACGAGGCCTTCGCGCACTTCAATGTTCGTTGCTCTTCCTCTGCCTCTCAGCCCCTCAATTGGGACCTCCACTTCTACGATCAGCTCCAGAACCAAATCGGCGGTGGAAAACCCAAAATGCGATGGTCCCTTTCTCTCTCCTCTTTTTTTTCTCTTCTAGATTTTCTAAAAAGATTTAAAATTTGGGTTTTTTTTTCTTTAGTTAAATTGGGGGTTTTTGGATTGTTTTAGGTACTTTAAGGAGCATGGGTGGCCGTCATCCACGATCTTCGAGAAGCCTCCGGAAGATGATGAGGGCCGGGCCAAGATCATCGATACTCTTCAGGTTTTTAATTTGCTTCTTCCGGTTGTTTGGCTTCTGAGAAAATGAAAGAAAAGTATATCATTTTGCAAATTGAGTGTCAATGTATTTTTACCCCATTTTTAGTTGCTAAAATCTTGCGACTATTTGATTTTAAACTAATTAGAAAATTTTCAGCTTATCTTAGAAAATCACACTGTCACTGCACAGAGGTTGCAGTGCTTGAGATATATCTTTTCTTCATCAATGTTTTGAAATTTTGGGCATAGATTGGTTGAATGCCGTGTACTTTTTCACAGTATGTTGATCCTTTTATGGTCTTGTAGGATTGGAAAACTGAAAGGTACAAAGAAATTATCAAATCCGGAACTGTAAGGAGACATTTATACTTGCTGCATTGTTGTTTTCTTTATTTTCTGATCAGTTATGTTGAATAGATTGTTCTGTATTCTTTTGTGTTTTTGTTTTGTACTAGGTGGAACCAAGACCAGGAGTTTTAAGATTAATGGACGAGGCTAAGGCTGCTGTAAGCTAATATTACCCTTGAAAATTCAATTTCTTTTCACGGTACTTTAAGTCCACCTAATTTATATGTATTTCCTTGATCAACAGCTTAGTTTTATGAGCATCTCTTTACATCTTATGTATGGATTTCTTTATGATTTGTTTCTCTTCCACTTTGTTTAGTATCTGTTCTGTTGCATTGGAGCGCAATTTTTATGCTTGTAAGAGTGATTCACTCTCTATTGTTGCAGGGGAAAAAGCTTGCTGTTTGCTCTGCAGCAACTAAAAGTTCAGTAATATTATGTCTTGAGAACCTTATAGGAATTGTAAGCTTTTTTCTCTGACATTGTTATTACAGTTAGAACTCATATTTGCTTCTTTGTTTCTACAACATGCGCTCATCAATTTATTCTACCTTATTGTAGGAGCGCTTTCAAGGTCTTGATTGCTTCCTTGCTGGTATGTTGATTACTTTTGAATTGGAACATCCTTATATAATTTGTTTTGGTTGAATCTTGCGTGAGACACATTTTATCTGCTTCTGCTATGTGCATAGGAGCATTTCAATTACTCATCAGTGACATGGATTAATTTTCACTCCCTCCATTGTATGATAATTTATAGTGCATCGATGCCCAATAGCTTCTATAAATCCCATTCCGTTTATGGATAAATTTAACTGCAAGTCAAGTCTTTCCCCCCATTTCTTATTGTTATTGTTCTGGTCCTTTTCAGTTGTTTTAGTATTATTAAAAATTTCTAGTTGATCGAATCAGATTGAACTGGTTTTGTTTTTTCAAAGAAAAATTAGACGTTTTAATTCATGTTTCTCTGAATTTTGTTTACAGGTGATGATGTGAAGCAAAAGAAGCCCGATCCTTCAATTTATCTTACAGCTTCCAAGGTCAGTAATCTAACGTCTTAAATCTGAACCTGAAAATGTGAATGCAGTTTTACCATCAAAACCGTAACTTGTTATGCCTTACAGAAACTCGGTATCCCAGAGAAAGATTGTTTGGTTGTGGAGGACAGTGTTATTGGGCTACAGGTAAATCTTTGTTTTTCGTTTTCTTTTTCTGTAGTAATCAGTTCCTTTAAGCGTTGTATTTGAAGAGGAAGATTGGAACATTGGAGGCCATGGAATAATTTTTCATGAATCAAATTGGCTTATGATTAAACAATAGTAAGAATTACTGATGCACAGAAAACTTCAGACAATAAATCCAATAAATCTATTTTGTCATTACCCAATAAATCCAATTAACTAAACATGGTTTACTTATTATGAGAATGAAAATTTGTCTCTGTAGGCAGCAACAAAAGCTGGGATGTCATGTGTGATTAGCTACACATCTTCAACAGCTGACCAGGTGAGGCCTCTTACCCTGTAACTATCTTAGATGAAGGATTTCATTGAGATGATCTACGATAGCTGGCAAATGACAGCCAGATAACTGCATTATGTGATGATTGAGCCTTTTCTATTTTCATATTCAATTAGGATTTTAAAGATGCAATAGCAATCTATCCTGACTTAAGCAATATAAGGTATGTGTGAACCATTTTCTTCACGAGCGTATAAATACATTTCGTTAAACTGTTTGGTGTGCTTACATACGGTTCATACAATCCTTGCAGACTGAAAGACTTGGAATTATTACTTCAAAATGCTGTCATTGCCAATTAAGAAAGTTCTTGCACTTGGATTATTAAGGAGTGAAACCATCTGCCATTGTCTTTTTGTTGAATTTTTCATTCACAAATGGCTCCATATGATGTATTCATTAACAGCTTACATGCACATATGTAAAATAACAAACATTTCTACCATAAAAAGCTAAGGCTCTCTCTCACATGGACGGATCAAATTATTGATTTGGTTACCGATTTTTCTTCTGGTAGCAATCGTATGCCTTCTGTAACAAATTAAAAGGATGCACTCTTTTTCTTATCCATCAATCTCTTTGTGATGGATGTGATGTAGAACCAAAGCAGTACTTTACAGGCAAGAGAAATGGAGAGGAGCTAGAAAATAAAGAGAATAGAAGACAAGTATGAGCAATTTAGCTTAATCACCAGCTCTTTAGAGTCACTATAAAAAATAGGCTTATTTGTTGAAATACCCACGTGGTTTTCAAATCGTCTCAATTTGCCCCTTGAAGTTTAAATGACTCAATTTTTCCCCTGAACTTCCATTTTGTGACCAAGGTTGTTTCCATTCCGTTAGTTTTCAAATAAAGATCATTAAATACATTAACGTGACATGGGTATTTTGATAATTTTAACTATTAAAAATGTTTGAAATTATTCAAAATCAAATATGTAAAATAATAAATTAACATAATTTTTAATTAATTAATTAACACATCTCCAAAGTTCTGCATCATCTTCTTTGGTTCTATCGCACCACCACCCCATCTTCTTTGGTTCTATCGCACCACCACCCCACTGTACACCCTAACCACATCAGTAGCCGCCCACAAACACCAACACTTACACCTGCCATGCGAGATCTAGTCACCCCACCCTCCATCAAAACTACAACCCAGCCACAGCTTCCTTACAAGATCCATTCAACCAATCTAACAAATATAAAAATGAACATCGATATGAAGAAAGTGGATGTGAAAAAGATTTTGGCTTTTCCAACTGGGTTTGTGGGGACAGTGGGAATTTACTTTTAAACATTTAAAATAATTTCTCCAAGGAAAAAATATTTATTTTAAAACTACTCATGTTATGTCAGCGGAATTAACGATTTTCATATGAAAACTATTGGAATGGGGCAACTTTGGTCATAGAATGGAAGTTTAGGGGGGAGATTGAGTCATTTAAAATGTCAAGGGGCAAACTGAGATAATTTGAAAACAACATAAGGTATTTCAACAAATAAGCTTAAAAAATAAATGCGTGTAACGATAACATCATGCGATATACTTCGATGAGTGTACACAAATTATAACAGTGTATTGAGTTTAGTGTTTAATTTTTAAAGTTTGTAATTGATATATTAATGACTGTACACTTGTTAGAGTACGGGGAATTCAAGAAATTAGGTTGGCATGTCACCTACTGTATAAGTTTTTATTTATGATTGATATTTTCTAATACTTGACTAATTTGATCCAGACCATACATGTCAACCTACCTGCCACATGAGAGGAAAGTATCCACTGGATTTTTATGTTTAGAATTATTTCTTGTGATACAATTATTGAGTGAGTATCACATCATCATTATATTACTTTCTGACTATTCTGCAATAATCGAGTGTGTTGTGCAGTTCTTACTGGAGGATCAAGCCAAGTGGGCAGGCCTCATTTTAGTTTGCGAACTGGAGGCCTTGACATTCAACACAGTTGTTTATTTATAGAGAAATGCTAGCAATTTTCTCTCTAACCTTCTCCCTTCTTTGCTTGACATGTATCATTCTTCTTATACTTAAAACAATGTCATTAATATATTATACAAGTTAACTTTTGTTTTCCAAATTTACCCTTATTAAATGTATTCAATTTATCCAAAAACATTTCACAACTTTCTTACCGTCTTATTAATTTTTCTTCTTAACGATGGAAGAGATTATAAATTTCCAACCCTGCTGTCCCATTAAATGAAGAAAAAAAGATTAAAGAAACAACTGAAATCCAAACCAAAGATAGACATAAAAACAAAACAATAGAGATCCTGCATGAAAATAAGATAAACCCTCATTTTACAAGTCATTCACCATATTGAAGATCCTTAATCAATCTGTCAAAATTATTGTACGATGATCCTCCAACATCAGTCGCTTCTACAGCTTTTTTCTTCCACTCCTTAGCCTTTTCTCTCATCTTCATCCCCTTTTCCCCTTCCAGCATTTCCTTAACAAGTGCTTCAATTTCATCGCGCTTCACATCGGGGCTCACCTCCATTCCAATCTCCCAATCAGTGCATGCGTATCGACAATTCGTTTGCTGCTCAGAAAAGAAAGGCCAGCAAATCACAGGCACACCTTCAGATATAGTTTCAATAGTAGAATTCCAACCAATGTGTGTTAAGAAAGCCCCAACAGAAGGATGAGCTAGCACTTGGTCCTGTGGACACCAACTGGTTATATAACCCCTATCCTTAATCTCCTCAAAAAATTCATCGGATAAAATTACCAAGTCACCCTTCACCACATCAGGCCTAACAATCCACAAAAATGGGTGATTGCTATTTGCAAGCCCCCATGCAAATTCTTTCAGATGTTCGGCTGTCATCATAGTTATGCTGCCATAATTAACATACACCACTGAATTGGGTTTCTTTTTGTCAAGCCATTCTAGGCATTTTGTGTCTTCTTTCCATAAACTTGAGGTAAGTGAATTTGTCAATTTGCTTTCAGGAAAATGGCGGCCAAGCAACTTAAGGGGGCCAATGGTGTAAATTTTAGGGGAGATGGTTGATAATACCTCTAACACTTCATGTTCAAATTCGTCAAATGTGTTGAAGATGATTGCAGAAGAGTTCAGACAGTTTTGTGCTTCGGTTCTCATGAAATCAAACATTATGTCGTTGACATCGGTCACTCTAATGAAGGTAGGGATGTCCTTGAGACGAACATTTTTCATGCCTGGGATCCAATCAATTGGTGTATTGAGCGTACCATCGTGCATAAAATTTTCATCTGACATGCAAGGTTAGGTGAAATGTGTGATTAGATACTGTTGGTGAGGTTCGGAACAAAAAAAAGAAGCACAAATTTGATTTTGTTCCCTTTAGTAAATTATGTAGTTTCAATTTTTCACAATTTATCTCATATAATTTATTCAATTTTTGCTATTTAATTCATATAATTTATCAATTGTTCCAGTTCATAGGGAATATATAGCTTAAGCTCCATCAAAAAATTTGACGGAAGAAACACGTAAGTGACATAAGTACGTACCTTTGAATGGAACAATCCCTCGTTTGACAAGTTCACCATACTGCAAGTGCGCCATGAAGCCACAAGCAGAGGCTGTCCAAAATTGAACCTCTGGAATGCCTAACTCCTTAGCAGCTTTGCTCCCAAAGCCCATGAGACCATCTGTAACAATGCAAGTAACTGGTGGAGCTTCAGAAGATGAGTTATTAAGTTTAATTATCAGCTCCTTAAATGGACCTAGGCAGGTTTTCCTAGTGGAGTCACATAAAGCTGGAATATCTTGGGTTGCATCTTTGTCCGAAGGAGGCAGCCCGTCCGGTATGGTCTCAAACCGGAAGTTGGATAGGCCCTTGACAGAGTCCGGTCCTTTAGACCGGACTAAGCGCATGTGGTTGAACTCAGTATTGACAAAGGTAATGTGGAAGTCCCTTAAGTGTAGAAGCTTGGCTAATTGCATCATGGGACTAACATGGCCTTGTGCAGGGTAAGGGACAAAAACTGCATGGAGTTTTTGGGATCCTAGTCTTGTTGAGCCCATTTCTTTACTAATATAGGCAAGACTTAAACTTGGCTCTGAAACCTAGCTTTGCTTTTATGGCATTTATAGAAAATATATGGCAACAACCTACTCTTCCGAGGGTAGATGGTATTATGGCACCCATCCTTCATAATTTGTGGTTTGTAACGACAGTTCAAGCTTGCCTTTAGTAGGAGGGTAGGTGTGGAAAGGGGGTAGACGTATAAAAGAAAATGAGGACTTTTAATCTGGTTTTTTCAACTGAGAGGATTGAGTTGGTTTTAATCCTTGAACATTTTAGAACTTAATTACCATAGATAGATGTTTTTATGAATTTCCATGCTGTGTCTACGACATTACAAGAAATTAGAAACACATATTAACATATATATCTTGACCATGGAGTTTTATAGGCTGCAAATAATGTAGTTTTGGTTCGTATTTTATTGCTCATGTATTCTTGTTTAAGAGTCATTGAGATAAGCAGAGGGTTTATAGCTCAAGTGATTAAGAACAGTTAATTCCTCAATTCAAGAATTCTCTCTCCCTTAATGTCCCTTGTATCAGAAAAGAGTATCACTATAGTAAGGGGGAAAAATTTAAGATCATTTATATTGGGAACAAGCACGTATAAAAAGCATATACATTATTGATGTGTCACTTTCTTTTCCAACGACACCACTATCCAAGAAATCAATGACAACCACATTTTGAGATCCCACTTCTGATTAGTATTTTAGTTCTTGTTTAAGTGCCATTGGGGTTGGGTGGGAAAGCTTTTAGATCCTTGAAGTCTCTATTGTCTTGGTCCTTTCTATTTTTCTTCGCGGACCCATTCAGGGACAAGAAGGGTCACATGACCCCATGAAATGGCCAAAATGTGGCTGCGGAATGCACACAAGATGCTCGACGAAAGGCCAGAAAGGCCTGCGTGCAGAAAAAAGAAAAAAAGTAAACTTCAGTAGAAGAGAAGTTGAAGCACGCAGCTGAGAAAGCAGCCTTCGCTGCAAAAATCAAAAACAAAAAACAAAAACAAAAACAAAAAAAACAAAAAAAAACTTAAAATATAAAAAGTGGTAGGCCAGATACTGATGCAGCACTAAGCACAAAGTGATGGGCGTGTAGTTGTAGCCAAAAAAAAAACTAAAAAAATAAAATAAAGAAAAGTAAGCCAATGTCCAAGTCTTTTTTTTTGGGGTCAAACGGACTGGTCTAAAGCTCTAACTCAAAAATATGTTCATTTCTTTTTTTGGTAATTGAAAGTATGTTCATCTCA